AGCGGCTTGAGATGGGGGTCGAGAGATGGCTGACCGACCACTGGCGCTTTGAGAATCAGCTTCATCCTCTGTGCGACCTCCGTCGTCCCCGACTGAGGGTCGGCCGTGCGGAGCTGCTAGGCCCACGTTGGTGTTCGTCGGCGCGACTGTCGCCTTGACGTGCTCCGCCAAGTCGCTCCGCACCTTTCTCACTCTCCGTTCGACTCGCACGCTCTCGAAGTCATCCGAGCCAACTCGCACAAATCGCCGCCAGGCTTTGTGCTTGCGCACGGCGGGTATGTTTGAAATGGTAGTGAAGTACGTGGCGAGCTTTGTCGTGATGTTGTGTGCATCCGAGGCCTTCTCGACAGGTGTTGAGGGAATGTTGACCGGCGATGTAGGAGTCGTGGCCCCGAGCATGCCCTGACCCTTCTCATCAGCGGGCGAGCCTGACTTGGTAGGTGTCACCGGCGCCAGCTGGGCAGCACCGTTCTCGCCCTTTGGACTCGCTATTCCAGTCAGGTTCGATAGCGCGGATCTCTCCCGATTACGATTGGCCCCAGGTGAGAGTGTTCGAGAGATGGTCTGCAAGATTCTACGAGAATTAGGCTGAGAAGCAGATGTGGAGTTTTGCGCCACAGTCGGAAGGGCAGGAAGCGCTGGCAACGTCTTGGAGCTACCGGAAGTGGGGATGGCCTCTCGTAGCTTTGCATCCAAGTCGCCGATCTCTACCACATTTCGAAGCAGGGTGAGGTTGTGGGTTGGGTTGGTGATGTAGAGCGTGTACGCAGGAATGCTTGGCTTTGGCGGTCCCTGTCTGCTGCTGCGCTTCGAAGTGACGGGCTCTTGCCGCTTGTCGCGAGCTTCAGCAACGCTGACACTCCAAATGCCATCCTCTCTGCTGATGGCAGCAGCAGCAGCCGGGCCCACGCCCGAGGCCGCTGCCGTGGCTGCCGCGCTTTTGGACGCTGTCAGGTTGCTGCCAGCCTTGGAACCATTGCCTAGGTCGAACAGACCCTTGACGCTTTGTCTCGAGCCCAGACCGCCTGCGCCCGAGGTGTTACTTCGATTGGAGTACTGACCTTGGCCTGTGATTGTGGAGAATTTCTTGCCGGACGACCCATGGGACGAGATCGTCGCTGGCGGCGAAGTGACGGCCGGCATCTTGAACGCTGTCCAAGCCAAGCTGTAGCAGACCACTAAGCTCTAGCCAAAGATCCAGATGGGCGACCAGATGAGCTAGTGAATCGGTGAAAGAATGCCAATGCGCGATGCTCTGGCCAAAGTAGGCGGCGCTGCACAAACCGATGAGCTAGTGAGTCGATGGAAGGGTGCCGATGCGCGATGCTCTGGCCAAAGTGTCGCGCCTCAACCAGCTCACGAGATGGTTGGAGTCAAGGGGATGGTCGTGTGCAATATTGAGACCTGGGTATTGAGAATGTGGGTATTTGTGTATGATGATGTGATGTGTAGCAGGTTCGAGGAAGCGTGGGATGCGAGCGAGCAAGATGACTGGTCGAAAGTCGGTTTCAGATGTTCGCGAGCAGCTGAGAGTCCTCAAGCGTCGAGTTCAAGCAAGTCAGGTCGCGAGTGTCGCGGAGCCTAGTGCTCCCACCAAGGCAGGACACAGTAGCCAACAGCCGCTCGCGTTAGCCGCGTCGGACGCGGCCCCAAGCCAAAAAAGAGTAGAGGCTGATTGATTGCAGGCAGGCAGGCAGGCAGGCAGGCCGCCTCAGGCCGCTGTTTCGAACAACGCTAGGCTCGTGCTGAAATGCTGAATACGAGCTGCAGCTGCTGGACACGCGCTCCAACAGTCTGAGAGTATCCGCCTCTGCAGTCACCCAGTCTCTGCTGCGCGATTTGCGTGAAGCAGCGTGGGTGTGATGCTTTGAAAGGGCAGGCAGGGCGAGGACTGCTTGCGGAGAAGGCTGTGTCGGAATAGGAGCTGCTGTTTGGCCTTTTGTCACGCTACAGGCCCGTAGGAGTTGCGATTCTGTGCTCAAAACAGCTAGTCACGAGTGATGGATGATGCTTCACTTGAGTGACCTCGATTTGAATGCAGCTGCTAGAATGGTGCGAGACGAGCTGAGTCAAGATCAGCATAGGAACGCGAGACGAGCTCAATGGCACGCTGGACCGACCGGTGGACAGCAACGATCAAAGCAGACCGATGACGGACGCAGCGCTGCAAGGGAAAACGTGAGTCGAGGGGCCCGGAGGCCAAGACTCAAAATTTGTATTCATGAATCGAGAATCAAATTGCGGCTTGTCAATCCGACTTGAAGAGTGCGCAAAGCCGACATTGACATTCAAGATTGATGAGATGAATCAATTTGAATGAGTGTCTGGCCTCGGTTTCGGAGAAGAAGAAGAAGCAGCGCGAATGAGCATCAAAAACAGGAATCAAAACGCCGGCGCAGCCAAAAGTCAGACAGACTCTGAGAGCGACCAGCAGCAGACTGACCCAGTGCGCAAGTAGACGACCTGAACAGCCAAAGGAGCCGGCTTGGAGGAGTCGATCTGACTCTTGACTGCCGCTCGTGACTGGGCTGCTGGCTTGTATGTCTAGTCATCATTCAAAGATTGGTGATTCAAGATTGATGAAAAGCTTTTGATTTGCGAACCACAAAGTCAAAGCCTTCTTGTTAAAGTGTCGTGCTTCGTGCATGCAAGATGTGATGCTTGCTTATCAGCGGCCCGAGCAGCTGCTGATGGTGGGTGCATGGCAATGCTGTCTCTCAGGAACCCGCCGTGTGATGACGGCGGGCAGAAATGAACCCGACCACTGCCGTTGCTGATTGGCGGCAGTCTCATGACGAAATTGCTTGACCTTCCTTCACCCATCGTTTCCTGATCTTGCAAGAGTTAGGATGTGCACATGTCGACCCGTCTACCACTTCCGTTGTCCTGATCGTCACGCAGCAAGAGCTGGTGCAACCACTCGAGGCGTGCCGTGCACGAATCGCACTGCGAGTCACGAGTAGGCTGCAGCACCAAACGCAAAGCATTTCAACGCCCGACACCTTTTAAGGTGTTGTGGAACACGGTGAGCGCATGGTAGGTACCTCACGGCTCATGCGGACAACCCTGCAGGCCCGCATTCGGCCAGCTCCTAATGATGTCGTACAACTCTTCGGAGTCTGTGATGCTGCTGTAATGACGAAAAGGCCGCGTGTTAGACAGGACACCCCTTTGGCAGGACACCGCTTTGGGTGTCAAGTTTGCCTGACTGAGTAACCAAACTGTCCAAGCAATGAGGACAGCCGTGAGCATATAGTAGTCAGTCTACCACAAGTCCTTTCCGTGACATGGTAGTAGTAGGTAGCCAAGTTTATATTCCGGTTCCCAGCCCTCCTGTGAACACAGCAAGGTCATGCGCAAAGAATCGATCTGATGTCTCTTCGCGAGCCACATGTGCAGCTGTTTCGCAATTTGAAAGCAATGTGCTGGGGGCGCTCCTGACCTGTGAGGATTTGTAAGGGCAACGAGGTCCTGCTTAATTGCTTGCTTGTGACTTTATCGAAATGATCACTCACACCTTCCACGTGACAAGTCTCTGCATCAGCGCATAATGCTGGGCCCGCCTTGCTTGTATTTAGCGCGCATCCGCAGATAGAAGAGTCTGAGTGACATCTGCCCAGGAACATTCCCTCGTCTTACATCATTGCCACAAGCATATATGCTCTAGCAAGCCACTTGGTCCATCAATGCGCAGAAAGCAAGCCGTAGATAGCTGACCTAGACAGGCATGTGCGAGACCGCCATCTTCTCCGTCGTCAAGCTCGCGAGTGCGACTCAGACTGTGTGCGGGGAAACAGGAAGGCAGAGAGATGCAAAGGAGCGCGCGCAAGCATGTATGCGTGGAACGTGCATCGCGTTCGCGCACCCCTCGGTCTGCGGGAGCGATGAAGAGCTGGCCGCCCTGCTCGGACTCAAGATGAATAACAAGAGACACGTCATGACTTGCGCTCCCGCGCGGTCCTACGCACATTTGTCCGCGTTGCGTGGGGCTTGCCAGCTCGTGTTGTGTCGGTCATCCGACAGGAGTCACGAGTTAATGTGGCGCACAAGCTGGGCGCCGTGCAGGAGACGACCCATCGTCGCACGAAGCAGACGGATGAAATCAGGATCAAATGCGGGATGGAACTTTAGATTCTGGAAGCTGGGAGTTGCGCGACTTTGTCTGGGGTTACATGGAGGGCGAAAAAGAAGAGAGGAAAAGGTCTGCTTCACAACCACATAGTGACCAGCGCCAGTCACATCGCCTTCTCTTGACTGCGCTAGGCGTTCTAGAGAAGTTCGCTGTAAGAGTCTGCTTGCAACAAGCCTCACCTCGACCAATATCGCGTGCCGTCTACTCTACGGTAACCGACTTTGCCAAGTTTCGAGGGAAGTCGACATCGACGCCAGCAGCGACAGCGAGGTGGTACGAGAGCAGTTGGAGAGGAATGACCGTCAAAAGTCCTTGAAGGGCGTCAACAGTTCGAGGCACCCTGATGGTCTTGCTTTGAGGACTGATGTCTTGATCGTCATCGTTGCAGATGATGATAGGTTGTCCTTTTCGGGAAGTGACCTGCATCAAGGCGGTCTGCACCTTGGGGTAGAGGGAGTCTTTGGTCATGATGATGATGACTGGCATAGACTCGTCAATCAGCGCCAAGGGCCCGTGCTTCAGCTCTCCTGCCAGAATACCCTCGGAATGCATGTAGCAAATTTCTTTGATCTTCAACGCTCCTTCCAAGCAAGTCGCGTGCTGATATCCACGTCCCATGATGAGCAAGCTTCGCTCCTTGGCCAAAGTACCGTGCGCCAGAGTCTGGAGGGCCTTGTCCTGTTCCAAGATCGCTCGGATCTGGCTCGGGAGTTCATGCAAGCCATCAATGATGGTCTGGCGACGCTCGGCCATTGAGATGCGGTCCTCGGACAGCTGTACCGCCATCATGATGAGCGCAATGTACTGCGAAGTGTACGCCTAGGAAACACGCAAACAACGCCCAATCAGCTGTCGATCGACGCAGGCACCTTGGCAGGCTCTGCAGGCTCTCATCGAACGCACCTTTGTGGAAGCAACACCAATTTCGGGACCCGCGTTAATGTGAATACCGCAGTGGGTCTCACGAGAGATTGTGCTGCCCACAGTGTTGACAACACCCAAGCAGAGAGCGCCCCGCTCCAAGCAGTACCTCAAAGCCAAGATGGTGTCTGCAGTCTCGCCAGATTGCGAGACGAACACACAGACATCGTCTCTAAAGATGGGTGTGCGCCTGTCCAAAAAGTCTGAAGCCAGCTCGATGGAGATGGGGATTTCAGTAAGCTCCTCAAAGATGGCACGGGTCTGTGTACCGCGAACAATCCAAGAGTCAGTGCTAGTTCGGTGTGCGTATAAAGCGCGGTGCGGACCACTTACCGCCAAGCACGAGTGATAACTTGTTCCGCACGCAATGAAAACCATGCGGCGGCAGCGACGCATCGTGTTTAAGAATGCAGTGAGGCCGCCCAACTTGACTTGACGGGTGTCGAAGTTCACACGACCACGCATCGTGTTGACGACAGACTCTGGCTGCTCGAAAATTTCCTTTTGCATAAAATGGTCAAAGGAGCCCTTCATGATCTCGGCCAGCTCAACCTCGAGGGTCTCAATCGAGCGCATTGAAGAGAGGCCATCATTGCGGCGCAGCCTGTGAATGTGGAGCTCTAGCGAGCACCAACGAAGGAGCCTCGTCTCAGCTTTGGGAAGGATTTTGCAAAGTTGCATTTGGACTCACCTCCCTCGGCGATGTGTGCAATGTCATCATCCTCAAGGTACAAGACTCTCTTGGTGTGTTCAATGATAGCACTAGCGTCTGATGCCACAAAGTATTCGATGGGCTGAGGCAGGCCATCTTCTGACAAGAAGGCGCGCGACTGCGAGCGAATTAGCTTGTTGTTGGCGCCCGGGATCTGCAGTCCACCAGGGCCGTCAGGGTGGCCACCGGGAGGAGCGAGGAGACCAGGCTGAGGAACAGAAGCTGTACAAGGAACCGATTTCGTGGCGTGAGTACTGGATTGAGGCCTGTCTGAATCGCAAGTTCAAGGCCACTCACTGAGCTTGTCGTCTGCCTCGGCGGTGTTGCCGAACTCGACATCGACAAAATCCACCTTTAGCTTCTTCTCGGTCTTGACACCAATCAGAAGTGGGGAACCACGTCGAGCGAGCACAATCTCGCCAGGGTAGTGCACCGACTTGAACACGAATGAGAACGCACCCTCCTACAAATTCGAAACCAATTCTGCGTGTCAGCGAAGGCGGATCTAGCCGGCGGACCGCGAGTAGAGGGCCCAAGCCTTCAGGCATGGGACCAAGCTGACGTTCGGGAGGCGCATGCTGACCAGCTATCGGCCAAGCGGGATCCTCCACTCACCAGTTCCTTGATCACGCTCTTGATGAGACTCGTGAAGTCCGGCTTGCGGCCTTGGGCAGAGTCGTACAAGTACTTGCAGAGAGCAGCCACGCACTCGGTGTCCGTCTCGCTCTCAAATTTGAAACCTCGCTTGGAGAGCACGAGCTTGAGCTCTCTGTAGTTGGTGATGATACCGTTGTGAACCACAGTGAACTCGTTGGTAGGGTCAGAGCGATGGGGGTGGCAGTTCAAGGGGCTGGGCTGGCCGTGCGTAGCCCATCGAGTGTGAGCCATACCAGCTTGACTGATAAAGGTCTTGTTGAGATCAACTGGAGAGTCTGCAATGTGCTTGCGCAGAGCCTGAACCTTGCCGACCTGCTTGTAAATGAGCACCTCCTTGTCACTGTCGCCATCAACGGCAATACCTGGAGGTTACGGACAAGCCAAGGCAGACAGGAGCGTCAGTCGCGCTATCCCTGCAATCTCACTCCTTGTGGGCCATTTGTTTGTCTTGGCTGTTCATGACTAGGCTCCAATATCGCACGCCAATGATCTTGGTGCCTACTCCCAAAGCTGACCTCGCAGGCATGGCTCCGCTTCTTTGCGCGTGGCCCAGCCAAGTACAACGACCCCTCATCCTCAAATACGACCGCTGCCTGCGGCGATGCCGCCTCCCAATCGCGTTTCGGCCAATATGACTGCCTGTGGTGCACCTGTTATGCACTCACCCGCAGAGTCGTATCCTCTGTACTCGAGTCGTGCCAGACCATTGACGAGAGTCTCTACGACTTGGCGTCGGTCCTGCAAGACACATCAGAAGTGCGATGTTAGCTTCATGCCAATTTGGGCTTGTCATTCCTAACCTTCTCAAAAGATACTTACCTTCTCCACCAAGTGGTTAACGTATGCGAAAATGCCGCACTGTCAAGGCGAAGGAGCGCACTCGTAGGGTGAGACTTGGCACTCCCGCGTGTATGCTTCTAATTAGACCCGCGTATGGCAACACGTACCATTGTGAGCCAAAAGGAAGCAAAGAGTACGAAACGCTCCTAGAGATGGCGAAAGAAGCTGTGAATGCGGCTCAGCGAATCTAAGAGCGGCTCCACTGCTGACGATGATGGTGGAGTCCTGCGGTTGTGCCGAATGGATGTAGACTTGTCAGCAAGCAGGTAGGAGTCAATGCGGGACAAGAAGGAGGGGAAAATGTGCTGACACGGAAGTGTGAGAGTTGGTGCACAAGTCCAAGTCGTGGTGATGATGGTGGACAAAATCCAGACGATTACGAGTCCCTCGACCAACACTTGAAGCTCCGTGAGAGGGAAGAGGGGGTCCGCTATGGAGTCTGCGCGCTTTGCGCTGCTCAATCCGTGCGCAAGCGTGTTTCGGTTGCATCAGGACTGGGCGCGTTGGCAGGCAGAGCGGCATCGCGGCTACAGGCCGGCAGCGACGAGCTTTGGAGGCATGCATGCATGCATGCATACATGCATGCAT